TAGTCTGGTTAGAGAAACTATGGCCGTTTTCGTTCAGGTGAGGGTTAGCGCCTGGGAAGAGCACGCAGGAGGCAGGACATGACGTATGAATTCATTAACACAAGTGTTAGCTCGTATTGCTAAAAGCTTTCCAATTGTGTTGTCTTTCCCATTTCCGTCACTGTCTTCTTCATGTATTGCAATTCTTTCTTCATCCTGATATATTTGTTTTCTCAGTTTTCATATGTTAGAAACATCATCAACACGCCCACTTGCTCTCAGTGAATCCTGTGGACTTATTCCAGCTGTAATCTCACATGGGCTCAATCGGATGTTAGAAAAAATTTAGAGTGTCTGAAGCAACTGAGTTGGACATTTGCATCCTCACATTCAGCTCCTCCTGATAATTTCAAGAGAAAGTCTGGAGTTCAATGCATGTATGCAAACTGTAACCTTAACCGAGATGTGCGAGCCACTCCTGAGGAAACCACTTTGCTGGATTAAGAGTAATTGCTATTAGACTATAAACTCAGTGGAAAACAGATTACACTAATCTCTTTTTGTTTAAAATGTGCTTCTGGGTTTAAAAACGTACTTTTATCCACTTAGACTAATGATGAAGTGTGCTGACCGATCGGGAAATGATAATGATTAGAGGCGAACATTTTTCCTCGGGTTGGAACCCCACAACAAAAAGAGACAAAGGAGGTTAAATTTACAGTTGCTTGCGGCTCTACAGCATGACAGACTTCAATTTAATGATTGTGCAAGCCATCAGTGGAGAAGCAAAAAACAAAAACAAAGGGCATTTCATTTATTTCCCTGCCACTCTGGTCTCTTTGTGACTGATAGGGGAGTACTGTTGCTATCAAAACTACAAATGGCCACAACACACAGCGTCTCATTCGTGGGTCGGGCTGATGATGAAGTCAGTGGAGACCGTGGACAAACTCTGTGGCTTGACAAAGGAGAGTGGAAGATTTACAGTCTTATAATAACACAATAGAGGCCTTTGTGAGGTCTGGCCCACGCCATGTTAGCATCACAGTTCATCCTCTAAATACGCCATCAAATCCAAAGACTTCTATCTGTAGCAGGTTATTCATCTCATGACTTAAACATGGAGTTGGAGGGGAGCAGCATTAATCCCCGCAGTTAAACCGATGTGAGGACTCGTTTCCTTACAGGTTTTGACAAGCGGGGCAACAGGATTTAAAAGCGAATCAGATGACAATATTCTGGCCTCACCTTGTCGGACCCACGCTGCAGCCACAAGTAGGAATGCTGACGACCGTTAACACGAGCACTGACCACAGGACCGCTCACATTACTCATCCAGAGCGGGAACATGACACAGTTTGTGTGAGTCGTTTGTCAGGTTTGTCGCTTCAAGGCAGGTGGCTGTTTACTCCGAGCAAACATGTCGACTTCAAAGAGAACAGCTGTAGCTCTTCTGCTTTGTTTACCATCAGGTAGGGGATCTGTCTTTGTCTTCACAAGCAGTTGCCGCCAATAAAGGAAGTAATAAGTCAACGGTGCGGTCTCCCCTGGCAACAATCCCACTGATAACGGCTGATACATGTTGCAGACAAGGAATGGGGTCATAATGAATTTGTTCAACTATAACAGTTAAGTGGGGAAGTAATTGGAGAAGATTATTAAGACTGCCGACATAACGATTAATTGATTTCCACTTTAACTGCAATAAAAGAGAAAATTAACCTATTTTTCATAAGTAAGGGGCTGTTTGCAAATGATTTGGCCCGGGAGGAGACAGAACATTTTCTTTCACACTATAAACAAAGGGTAACAGAAAAAAAGTAATGTTCTCCAGAGCAGTCTACTCCCTTCAATCTTTAGAAAAAATACAATACTCCTTTCCAGCCTCGATGATTTCCACAGGGTCTCTAATCTCAGTGGGTTTTTCCTGCACTGAAGCATACATAAATCAGTTCATACATATGGCTTGTATTGACACACAAAATGAATTAAAATATAGTTTTAACAGCAGAATCGATTCTGCTTTTTCTGTTCTAAACAATGAAGCACAGTTTCCGATAACGTTCCCCTTCTGCCACATGAAAGAATACACACTCTTTGATTTTAAAGTTAAATAATAAAATATGGACTCTCAAGACGCTAAATAAAAACAATAACTGGATCCACACCAGCCCAGATCTAAGACTGTGGTTATCGGCTGATTCACCAGGAAAAACACAGACGGGTCTGGAAAGTCTGTTTTCCATTACAAAGTCACAGTTTATCTTTTTCTCTTCATTTCTTTCAAAACAAGAGGAGGAAATGGAGAAGACTTTGTTTCTCTCTGCAGAGGAACAAGTTACATAATACATTTTAAAACCAAGTCCACCACCTCAGATCGAGTCCACACACAGGACACTTGTGAAAAAGTGAAAT